GGTCGGGGGGTCGGGGGCGGCCGGGAGGGAGGTCGGGGGCGCCCCGCCTCCGTGTGGACGCCTCCCGTCGTCCCCGCGAGGTGTCACCTCGTGTCCCTTCGTCCTGTCGTCCCGGAGGTCGCACCCCGCCGTCTCTCCGTGTGGTCCCCTCACGTCCTCCCGGTTGTCACCTTTGGTGCTGGTGGAGGGGAGGTTGTCTGCCGTGCCGGTGGCTGGGGTGGGGGGCCCGGGAGAGGTCCTCCGTGTCAGTGGGCCGGGCTGTAGGGCCTGGGGTGGTGGAGAGGTGGTCACCTCGGGGTGCAGTCGGGTGCCCGTGGGCTGGCCTGGTGATCGCGTGAGAAGCCGGGGCAGGTGTCTCTCGCGTTGGTCCGGTGTCTGTCGAGGCTTTGCAAGGTCGGAGAGGTGCCCCCCCCCCCCGTTTGGGTGGCATGGCCGGGGAGGCCTCGAGAAGCCCGGGAGGTGGTCCCCTTTCGTTGGTGGGCAGGGCTGGTGAGACCCTGCAGAGTTGGGGGTGTCGGCGGTCGCTAATCCTAATGACCCGGTGATAGGCCAAGTGGAAGTGCCAGAGGCCTTCGGGGGTTCTGACGTCCAGGAGGGGCCCGGGAAGTCAGTGTCCTGGGCCCTGGCGGCCCTGTGTGTGTTTTGAGTAGAAAACGAAGCATGGCCCGTGGGTGCTGTTGAGTTAGCATCCTTACTGGGGACCCATGGCATAATGTCTGTGGCCCGGGACGCCCTTGCAGCTGGCTCTCCACCGCTTCCCGTTAGCGTGGGGCAGCTCTGTGTGTGTGTCCTTGAAAATTCCTGCATCTGCCGGGTGGTGGTGGTGCAGGACTTTAATCCCAGCACTTTGGGAGGCAGAGGCAGGTGGGTCTCTGTGAGTTCAAGGCCAGCCAGGGCTGTTAAACAGAGAAACTCTGTCTTGAAAAAAAAACTCCCACAAGTGTCCACTCTCCTGGGGTCAGCCGGATGGCTCAGCAGTGGACTTTTGCCGCCAAACTGAATTCCGTCCCTGCTGCATGGTGAAGGAGAGCACCGACTCCCGCAGTTCTCTGACCTGCCCATGTGCGCAAATGCAGTAGGCATTTAAAACACCTGCCTGTATGTATGCGGGGCCCGTGGCACGCTCCTTTAACCCGGCACTCGGCCGGGCCAGGAGGAGCTCTGAGTTCCAGACCAGCCTGCTTACAGACTGACTTCTAGGTTGGTGGCCTGTCTAGGAGTCTGAGAAGTTGGAGAGGTTGTCCCCTCTTGTTGCTGTGACTGGAGGATTGTGGGAAATTGGAAAAGTTGTCGTCCCTCCCCCCCCCATGTTGGTGGTGCCTAAAGGGGCCTTAGGAAGTCTGGGAGGGTGTGGGGAGACTGTCTGGAAGAAGGGTCGGACTTCTCATACTTTTCCTCTTAGGACTTAAATCTGATCCTTTCTTCTTTGCGTCTTCAAGGGTCACCATCCACTTTTTTTGGGGGGGAGGGTTCGAGACAGGGTTTCTCTGTGTAGTTTTGGAGCCTGTACTGGATCTCACTCTGTAGCCCAGGCTGGCCTCGAACTCACAGAGATCCACCTGCCTCTGCCTCCCGAGTGCTGGGATTAAAGGCGTGCGCCACCACCGCCTGGCCACCATCCACTCTTCTCAGGGTACAGTTCTGTGAGTTGTGGTCACTGTCACAGTTGAGGTGCAGCACACTTGAACCAACCCCAAGCTCCCGTCGACTGTCCCTCTGTTATCTGCCTCTTAGCTTCTTGCCTGCCACACCTTGTCTCCTGGCAGTTTTGTTTCAGAAAGCCCAGTGAATGATCACCATGGAGAATGTGTCTGAGGGCTCGGGGTTGCCCTTAACTTTTCTTTGTAGCTGGGCAACAACATCCTTTGGGCAGTCAGCCAGCTTGGTGGTCATTCTGTGAGTCACAGGATACCTGGGCTGGTCCAGTGTTTGTTTCCTGATTATTTCTTTGGTCTTGTTATACAGCTGTGGCTGGCCTGGAGCTCACTCTGTAGTTCAGGCTGGCCTTGAACTTTCCGTGATGTCCTGCGCCCCCCCCCCATGTGTGTGACTAGAGGCTGTGAGTTCCAGACACCTGAATGTGGACTTGTCCAAACTGAAGTAGTCCCTGGGAGTACCAAGAGCTGGGTTGCTAGGTCCGCACTGAGTAGACAGTCACCAGCCTGAGTTCCCAAAGTTGCCATAGCTGAGCATGAAGGGTTAAAAAGTCTGTCACGACCCTGTTGGTACCCAGTGGAGTGTTGCTGGCCAGTTGCCTCTCCTCCTTCCCTGGGGATGAGGAAAGCTAACCCAGTGACACTGGCCCAGCTCCACCTCCTGTGAATCCGGCCTTCAGTTGAGTCTGGCGGGAACTGGCTCTCCAGTGGCGGGTGGGAATGACTGACTGCCCAGCGCCTTTCCCTTGCTGGCCCGGATCTCACTTGGCGGGGTTGGCTGTGCTGGCCCAGCCCTGCTCCTGACATCTGTAGGCCATTCCAGCTGTGGCTGTCACACTGCTGTCCAAGGGCCAGCAGGTGTGTGTGTGTGGGACATCGCTCTCACATAGCCTGAGCAGAGACAGCCCCTCCACAGTGCCCTCTTCTAGCTGTATGCTTCCATGGAAAGTTCTGCTTCTTAGGAAGCCAGGGCTAGTGCCTGGCACACTCCGCACAATGTCAGACCTGCCATTCCTGCACCCAGGAAGTGGAGGCGGGAGTATCAGGAGTTCAAGACCAGTTTTGGTTACATAGTGAGTTCCACGCAAGGCTGCCCCACATGTATCAGACCCTGTTTCGAGTCCCCCCCCTCAGCAAACAAGCAAACAGAAAACTCTGCTGTTGCTGGATGATCGCATTACCTAGGCGTTGAGCGAAGGGGCCGTGCAGGTGCAGCTGCCCTGGGGTGGGAGCTCAGCACACCGCATGCCCACCTGCTGCCCCCAGTCTGTTCTGTTCTGAGATGGGGTCTCAGCATACTGCGACTGGCCCTCCTCCCTCTGCCTCCTCTTAGAGTGCTGGGGCTCTAGGTACGCACCACCAGGTCCGGCTTCATAATTCTTTGTAAAAGCCCTGCAAGCCACCTTTGGTGTCCCTGGGGACATGCACAGAGGACAGAAAAGACATTCATCACTCCAGGCAGATTGGGAACGGAGTGTGGCAGTCCCACACTTGAGTAAGGCATGGCCCTGGGCAGGTGCCAGTGGCTTCTTAGAGGACAGCAACCATGCTGTCCACACTCACAAATACCCAGTCTGGGGACGAGGTGTGGAGAACTGACAGGTGGGAGGGGACATCATCCTTATAGCAGTTGAGGACACTGGGACCTCACGGAATGACCCCTTTGGCGTAAAGGATGCAGATGCCATTTTTAGCTGTTTGCTTGGCAGGCAGCGTAGGGGACAGACCTGAGAGGGAGGGCCAGAGTGGCCTTCCTGTTGGTGACTCAGTAGGCCCTGCGTGGTGGGGTGTCCCTTCTGATGAGCTCAGGAGGCCTGTGGGTGGCTGGGTGAGTCGTGCTGTGGGTGGCTGGGTGAGCCAGCCCCAGTGTGACTCAGAAGGTAGTTTCTGCTGCTGACCTTCTCGGGTGAGTGTCCCAGCTAACTGCGCACATGTGGGTGGGCAGGAGGCAGGCTGACCTTTCGCCTGCCTGTGTGGGCTGACCCGCTCATCCAGAAGGGAAGGTGATGATGGTGGGCTCCTGTGTGGGGCATCGACTCGGCGCTTGCCCTTCAAACCCAAGCTCAGGCTACTTGCTCTGTTCTTGCTAAGTTCTGGGGAACCCCAGCTGGGCTTCCCTGTCTGTGGAAGCACCGACCTTTTTCAAGTTAGACTTTCTTTTTTTTTTTTAGATTTATTTATTTATTATGTATACAGAAGAGGGCACCAGATCTCATTACAGATGGTTGTGAGCCACCATGTGATTCCTGGGAATTGAACTCAGGACCTCTGGAAGAGCAGTCGGTGCTCTTAACCTCTGAGCCATCTCTCCAGCCCCTAGACTTTCTTTTTTTCTTTTCTGAGACGTTCTGATTCTGTATTCAGGGCAGTTTGGTACTCACCTTGTAGCCCAGGCTGCCTTCAAACTTTGAGCAGTTCTGTCTCATTCTCCCAAGTGCTGTGAGTGTGGGCATGAGATGTCACGCTGGCTTCAAGTTAGATATTTTATTTGGGGTAATTATAGGTTCATGCACTCAGGAATGTTCCTGTGTCCTCACTTTTGTTTTTTGAGACAAGGTTTCTCCATACAACAACCCTGTCTGTCCTGGAACTCACTCTGTAGCCGAGGCTGGCCTCGAACTCACAGAGACCCACCTGGCTCTGCCTCCCCAGTGCTGGGATTAAAGGCATGTGCCTATGTCCTCACTCTTAACGAAATGAAGCCCTTAGGTTAGCGGGTTATCCTCCTGTGGGATATGTGACTTGATCACTCCTGCCTTATGGAAAGATTAACCCGCCATTCTCATGGGGGTCCTGCCCCAGACTGACACTTGGTGACGTCTAGGGGCTTTGGTTGCCACAGCTAGAAGAGGGGAAGCTCTGGCACTGGCCCCTGCAGACAAAGCTGGGTTCTGGGTGTCGATGATGTGCAGAAAGACCGCCGCTGTTGCCTGAAGTTTGGGGGCACAGGCCACCTGCCCCATGTCTCCTGTTGGATGGGTTGTTCTGTTGGCTGGGGCAGTCCTGCCATCTTTACCCAGGGTCCCTGGAATGCCAGCCAGGCTGCTTGACTTTCCAGAACACGATCTGGCCCTGTGCAGTGCAGACGTCCACTCATCTGAGCGTTGCCTTGTTGACAGGTTGATTCAGACACAGATGTCTGCCCTGTGTGGGTAGCAGCTCTGGGGCCCAAGTGTGAGGCACATGTGACGCCTCCGAGGCCCTGCACAGGCTGCTCTGCTGGTAGTGTGGGTACCCCGCCGCCGCAGGACAGCTGCTGAGGGAGAGCGCTCAGGCTCCTCTGGCTCTCCTCCTCCTCTCCCCAGCCCCTCTCTGGGTGTCTCTCGACTCCTGACTGTCGTCACCTCCAGTGTGCTAGAGTGACAGCTGCCTGTGCATGTTGGAGAGTCTTGTACCCACCGAGCTATATTCCAGCTCAGCAGAGGAGCACCTGCCCAGCCTGTGGGAAGCCCTGGGTTTCTCCCCAGCACCCCAAACAGTTCCATTAAGACCTGACTCACACCAGTACAGTCCATGCATTCAAAGCGCTGGCCAGGGTCTGTGACACAGTCACAGTTGAGGCAGCTATTACAGCTGTCTGGTCTAGGGCAGTCCGTCACCCCTGTGAGGAGTTACCTGTCCCAGCACCCACGAGTGCACTTCTGTCTCAGAATTACCTCTTCTGGACATCTGTTGTGGAGCTCCACACTGTGGCCCTGCTGCGTGTGCGCACACCCTGCCTCTGCCCTGACTTGCAGTGTTTGAGCGTGAGGAGGTTCCAGGTCTTAGGCCCCTGAGGAGGGCTTGTTACAACTTCATCTGAGGATGGAGTGATGGGGAGGAGCTGCTGTGGCACTAAGCTTGATAGGGCAGTCATGTGCACCGGGTGGTTTTTAAAAGATTGTTGTTGTTAACTGTGCACAGGGATGTGCTGTGTGAGTGCGGAGGCCAGAAGAGGGTGCGAGTGTCCTCTGCCACCATCTGTTCCTCTGAGGAGGGCCTTTCTCTAGACCTGATGATGGAGCCCTTCAGCCAGGCTGGAAGCTGTCAAGCTCCAGTACCCAGTTCCACACCCCCATGGGGCTACCGGAGCTTCCTGGCCTCTCCAGGGCCCCTGTGCCGGGGTCCCCAGCTGCTG